GGGGCTGACAAACTTTATTGTAAGGACCTAATTAGGCTTTTGGGGCTATACAAGCTCCGTTGAAAACTACACAGCTCTGTCATTGTGGTGTGAGAGCAGACATATACTACAATTCATAAGTAAATGAGCATGGCTGTGTTCCAGCCAAACGTCATTTACAAAAACAGGTGGCAGATTAGATTTGGTCTGTGGGGTAGAGTTCACCAATCCTTGATCTAGAACACTGAATAAACATAGTGAATGGATTGATAAACCACTGAAAGTTATTTCTGAGAAGCAGTGTTGAATACTGTAGTAGCTGGAAGTAATTAGTAAGGTAAACTAATCTGTCTTTTTATCAAAGAAGGAAAGAATGTAAATTCCGCAAATTGTAATAATAAACTTGATGTTGAGTATGAAAGAAAACTAAATTAGATTATTACAAGAGGGGTTGTACTTAAGGAATTGATCACTAGGAGGCAGCATTAGTTCACTAAAAACAATTTACACCAAGGTCATTTTTCTATTTTTAGATATTATAAACAGCCCCTTTCAGAAGAGTACTATAGATAGATAGTGTTTTAGTACTTAAGCAAAGTATTTGACAAGTCTTTTATGAGATCACTTTGGATAAATTGTATGACAAGATGGTTAAATGGATTTGTGGTTCAGGTATACCTATAGAACATGAATTAATTGTTAATGCCAGCCCATAGAGAAATCTGTATTTGTAGGCCATGAGGCTTTTCCTCAGGCCCATTCTATTTAACATTTGTGATTAATGACTAGATGATGATGACAATATTTATTTTATTCTGATAAAGTATGTGAATGACAGAAACTGGAGAAATTAGAGATCCTGATATATTGGTTGATCAAATCAGAATCTAAAAAGTAGACATAAGGATGATACTGCAGGTCTTCAGATATTTTCACAACTATCCAATAAGAGAAAAGACACAATTTTGAGAGGCTAGAACAAGGACCATTGTATAGAAAATTCTGGGAGACAGAATTTTCTCCTTTTTATTTCTAAGGCTGTATGTTCACAATTCTGAAACAGACACAATGCCTAAAGTCTTCACCTCACACCCACATTTAGTTGGCTTAATATGAACTTATTTATAATTTGCTCTCCAAAAAGTGGTATCGTCTAGCTGAAGCAGAAGTGAGTTTTTTTCTCACTCCAATGATGTGGTCCCCGTTACTAATGCTTAGCAATGTGTTCTGGTTCTCCTCCTCTCTTTGACGTATGGAAAGACGATAGTTCCTTTCCTTTTGCAGTTAGGTGTGGTCATGCAATTTGCTTTGGCCCATGAGATGTGAGCAGAAGTAATGTATATAATTTCCAGTCAGACGCATTTAAAAACTTATGTGTGATTTTTCCATGCCTTTCTTCCGTGGTCATTGTGGAAGCATATGATGAGTTGAAGATACTATCAGATCACAACACCCAGGAGTACTTAGCCAATTTATGGAGGACAGTGGTAGTGTTCTTGCATGATCAAGAAATAAACTTTTCTTATTGTAAGCCAGTGTAAGTTGTGAAGTTGTTATAACAGCATAACCTAGCCTGCTCTGGCTTCTACCTCCTTTGGTATTTAACAACTAATAGCCCTGGGCCAATAGAAGTCAGGTGACAGGGCTTCGAATGTTGAATCTGACATTAACTATGACCCTAGAAAAATCAGTTTTCTCTGTAAAACAAAATTCTTTGAATGAAAAATATGGACCATCTCTTCCAGACAAAAACACTGTGACTTTAAAATCTGTTCTAATACTTGATATAGTCTTTTATACTTGACAATGCCTTTTATCTTCTATTGTTTTAAACATTAGGGTTAAAAGCCCACATTGCCATTTACTTTTTTAATGCCACATAAATTGCTGTCTATATTAGTTAGGACCATTTTATTATTTAGTTTGGAACAAATTTCTCATATAACACATGCATTGTTTTTAGAACCTTAATAATCTACTAATAGAGTATAATCCAGGTTATCAAACATCTATTGAATCACTGTACTTCTTTGAAATCATTCCTATAATAGAATGATTTCTGGATTCTCTATTTCTATAATAGGTCTCCAAGACAAACTCAAATATGGAAAAAAGTTGATTTTTTAATATTTTTTTGAGTCCCAGCTAGATTCCTTTCTTTTGCTACATAAAGGGTTTGGCTTTGATCCCAGAAATTGAACTATTATCATGAAGATGCCAGAATTTCACTCTTTTTTCATCTTAGCAACAGAGTTCTAGCTTATCTTTAAAATTAGAAGTTTGTTTTTTGTTTCTAAGTTTAGTTACTCTATAAGTATTTGGGCTGAAATACAGATATCAAATATATAAATTCCTTAAAACACTCAATATTTGAATTGATTTGGCATCTATCCAGTTTCCCTGGGTTTGGCTTTCCTTTGAAAGCCCTACTGTCTTTAATAGAAGCTCAGATTCTTTTGGAAACTCTGTTGGAATCACCTCTTAAATATGTGTAGGACGTGCTCCGTACAGCTTCCAGTGCTGTTTGAAATTGGCTCTTTAAACAACCAATCTGTTTCTAGTTCACATTTTATAGATGAGTCAACAATTGAATATCAGTATAACTTGCTCTTTAAAAAGTTTGTTCTGAAATAGTTTATACTAAATTGGCACCAAATCAGTATTTACTGAACAAAAGAATTTAATATAAGTATTAATCTAGCTATTTTGTGATGTTAGGAATCAAGGTTTTGAATTTTTATTTAGTCTATTTCTCCTCATTATCTCCATCCAGCCTTACATTAAGAATAAGTATATTCCATATTGTAAAAGACACTTTAAATTCCCTCAAAATCACATTAAATTTCTGTTCCCTTTTAAACAACTAAATCAAATGGCAGATTACTACTGAATGCTAAACTCACCCTTTTTCTCTCTCTAAAATCAGTAAAATGCATTTAAATATATCCTTATTATAAAACATTATTAGTTCCATTTCTTACAAGACATGGCTTCTGGTCCTGATTCTAGTTCTGTCACCAGCTGTGTGACCTTATAAAAACCGCTACAAGCGTACTTCTCAGAGCACCATTTTCTCATTTCTAAAAGGAGAGGCTTCCAATGGATGCATTTTTAGTCTCCTTTTTAACGCTGTGATAGTTTCTCTTTGTGCATGTTCAGTATACTTCTTTAGTCTAGGTCTTTCTTTGTTTTCAGAAGCATTTATAATGGCTCACCCTCTAGACTACATTTTCATGGCCTCTTTGACCTTACTTAATTTTAATATAACGGATAATAACCTATATACTGGTCAAAATAGGCCAGATAATCTACAGTAATGACTTATCTAACCTCAGTAGATTAAAGTAACAAAGTTTATTTCATGTTAATACTAATTGTCTGCCCATAGTATGTGGTCCCAGAACATGGCTGTGTGTTGTCCTCATTCCAGGACCAAGACCTTCAGAGTACCCATTATCTGAAGCTTTGCAGATTCTGTGACAGAGGCGAGAGAGAAATAGCTATATCAGACATGTCTCTGAAAGCTTCCATCTAGAACTAAACATGTCACTTTTGCTCACGTGGAATTGGCCAAAGCAAGTCAATGTCCACACTTAACTTTGAGGGGCAGGTGTACTATCTCACGATGTGGCCTGGGTGTGGGAAGACACAGGAATATTTGGTAAACAGCTCGTATGACTATTCATCATGTTACTTCGGATAGGAATACAAATTAGTACTACATTTATGGGGGGAAATTTGCAAATGTATCAAAAGCTCTAGAAATATGTTTGTCATTTTATTTAGTAGTTAGAGTTTTAGGTAATTATTGAACAAATATACAAAGATGTATATTCAATAATTCATTCTTTAAGTATATGTTTATTGAATATCTATTATGTGCTTGGAGCTGACATGTTCTATACCTTTATGGAGCACTTTGGGGTAAGAGAGTGGAGAGATAGTGCCAGAGATAATTCAAATGAAACAGGTTAGTAGTAAGTGTTGTTCAGGATGCTATGAAAGCATATAAGAACATTTCTTCTGACCTACTTTTCAGTCATCTGATCCTCTCTTCAGCTGTGTAAAATATACTCTGCAACCCCTTCCCCCTGAATTTTTAATTTCCGTTTTTGTAACTTTTCACTTTTGAAAGAGATCTTCAAATGTGCTAAATTGATTTTTTATAGTTTCCTATCTCTGAAGATACTTTCAAGCTTGTATTTTATGAAGAAATTGTTTTCTCAAATTGGGACATAATTTTGAATGTCCATAAATCTTTTGATAATAAAAAAGTTACATGGTTATAATTTACTGTTAAATTTTGATAATCTCGAGGGGGAAAATATGATTAAGATTGTGTATACAGATTACAACTTTTAAAAATTTGTTCATAGTGAATATTGTAAGGTAATAGAGAAATGATAAAATTTGAGTTAAGGTGTTGGGATTATGACTTATTTTTAAAACTTTTCTAACCTGTCTATAATATTACTTAACAGTTTTTAGAATTTAAGAATTTAGACTGGCCAAATCAATTTAAAAACAAAGTAAAAGGAATGATATTCATTGAGAATAATTTGTTAATATCAATGGAGAGTTTTAAAAGGTTTTCACTCTTATTTATCATAAATAAAACTCTGATTTGCAGCCATAAATAAAATAAAAAATTGTTAGAAGTATCATTTTGATCCTTTGAATCTTCATAATAAAAAATTTAAGTCTTTCTATGTGGAACTATTGTGCCCAGTGTACTAAGAAAACTTATACAAGCTGTTCCCCTCTTTTTTCTTCTCTCATTATTTTTGCCCTCTTGTATTAGCTAGATTTGTCTCACCTCCATAGTTGGGAGTAGAGTTAAGACTGCAGTTTTTTTAAGAATAAAGAACAAAATAAAGAAGACCGTGATAACTTTCTTTGAGGGCATAGTTTATATTAGTAAAGTTTAGTATGCCTCTCACAAAGAAAACCAGACTTACAGAACCAAAGATATTTAACATAAAAGAGATTAAATGCTTAATGATTTTTTTAAATTTCTTTAGGAAGAAGAAAGGCGTATGGCATCTGTTGTAGCCAAAAAGGAGGAAGAGAAGAGGCGGGAAAGTCATAAACAATCCTTGCTTAAGGTATTTTCTCCCTTAGCTGTATGCATGTGTGTGCTCATATCCACTGCATTGAAGCCATCTAGTCAGCTAGAAAAGTGGTTTCCAACTATAAAATGTTCATTCCCATCAATAGAATGTTTTTTATAAACACCCCTAAAACTTTTATAAGTTTACTACCTATAAATAAACTTGTACTTCTGAAATACTGTATAATATACATTATAAAACTCATGCAAAAGCTATTTTTTTTAATATATTTTTTTGATTTTTCACAGAGAGGAAGGGAGAGAGATAGAACATTAGAAACATCAATGAGAGAGAAACATCGATCAGCTGCCTCCTGCACATTTCCCACTGGGGATGTGCCCGCAACCCAGGTACATGCCCTTGACCGGAATCGAACCTGGGACCCTTGAGTCCGCAGGCCGACGCTCTATCCACTGAGCCAAACCGGTTCTGGCGCAAAAGCTATTTTAAAAGGAAGAAATAAAAATAAATATAATAGAAGTTATCATTTGTTTCCATACAAGTGCATCGCCTGTGTTTCCTCATGGCATTTAAAGTTCTAAATTTGAAAACTTTCTGTTAGCTTCTCTGTTATACATTTGGTAAAAATTTTGAGAAATACAGGAATTGAAATTTGTTATAAACTGGTTTTAAGTGATTCAGCATATCAGATATTTCTTTCCTTAAATAAAATGTTTCATTTTAAAATATTTTATATTAACATTACAATGCATAATAAAGACAGCGGAAAGCCTGTGTCCTGTACTGTGCTTCCTGCTGTGCTCTAACACTAAGGACAGCACTCTGGTGATCACTACTCATTTGGGTCTTACCTAGGTGCTTTTCTTTTTAAAGGGGACATAGTAATACTTTCAACAATAAAGATAAATTTTTAAAAAAATTAAATTAAAATGGTGTTCAGAATTCAAAAAATGACTACTAGGGATATCAAGTTGTGTATAATAAACTTATGAAGCAAGAAAACTTGTGTGTGTGAGGGGGGTGTGTTAAACGTTGTGTATCTTGGTAGGGCTATGGATTATACACAGGTATATGCATTTGTCAAAACTAATCAGAGTACATGTTAATCTGTGTCTTTTACTCTACGAAAACTACTCTAAAATGAGCAAAAAAGAAAAACAACTTGGTCCCAAGCCCTCTCAGCTCAGCACTAATACTTCAGAAGTAATGTGAGCCATTACTCTGGATACTAACATTTTTGTCACCTGCTGTTGTCTCTAACCTGCTGACTCCTCCTCACCTTTGTTTCCCCTCATTCCATTAATTAAATGTGCTTTCCCCCTTCTTGACATCTTTACCGTTTTACTGATTTAGCCAATAAGATTTTAGTTTTCCCTGTAATGGAATATCCCTAATGGTTGGCCCAAAACACATTGGATTATAGGGAATATAGTTGTAGGCAGTATTTTTTAAAAAATTCCTTATTGTTTAAAGTATTACATGTCTCCTTTTCCCCCCCCATTGACCTCTCCCCAGCCACTCCCACCCCCAGCACATGCCCTCACCCCCCTAGTGTCTGTGTCCATCAGTTATGCTTATATGCATGCATACAAGTCCTTTGGTTGATCTCTTATCTTCCACCTTCTACCCTCCCCTTGTAGGCGGTATTTTTTAAATTTGAAGGCACAAGGTTTACCATTGCCAGATACTAATACTGGCAAACCGCCTAACTGGTTCATTTATAAAAAATAGTATTTCCTGCCATGCCACTGCTGCTGTCAGATGCATAAGTGAATGAGTGAATAAATGAACAAAAATACATAAATAACTATTTCTCTCTGTCAACCTCCAGTTGGCCAGAAAACCAAATGCATAGAGCCCTCATGATAGCCACTCTCTTTCAAAGTGGTCTTGGAAATGATAGAAATAATGGCACTGCTTAGGTTAAAAATTGGATTATCCCAGTCATCTGCAAATGACTGAAACAGAATTTCTTAAGGTCAGATGGCTTTTTATTATAGATTTTGGGGGAAAATTTACAGTTGAATAGTAGATTCCTACTTTAGATAAGGAGGGCATACATAAAATGTCAAAAAGTCTCAGAAGTATATCTGAAATATCAAGTAATTGAAAAAAATGCTAAAATTAGAAATAGACTTTTTAAAAATTTAGTTTTAATTACCTTTGTCATTGCTTTTTAACTCATATTCAGTGCCATTTCTACATGCTAAAGATAACCAAATATAGGCACAGAGGTGGAACTAAAAGTAATTATTCTACACGTACACATGCCCTGAGTAAATGGGCAAAAACCTTCCTCAGGGGAAGGGAAAGTGTCTGATTTCAGCTTCTGATCTAATTAATATGCCATATAATAATGTTAATTTTTATAGTATAGAATAGAATAGATTAGTGATTATTTTCCCCAATACATTTATATAAGTTGACTAGAAACATTTTAACATGGCAGTTTCAGTAGTCCAGAACTCATTTTTCGACAGGTTTCTGTGAGAGAATAGAGCCCCAATGCCCTAATCAGTGGTTCTCAAAGTGAAGTTCATTAGCAAATTCAAGAACCCCACCTGAAACTCACTAAATCAAAATGGGGTTTGAGCTAGCAATTAATGTTTTAATAAGAGCTCCGTGACTTAAGGCCCTCTAAAGTTTCAGACTCACTCCCCTAAAGTATCCAATCCATATAATGAATTAAATGCTTTAATCTTCATCTAGGAAGGCACTAGTTACCTAGAAATATTCCAACTTAGTACCATTTCTTTTAGTAGTTTGTACATAAGTATTAATTTTCAAACATTTAATTTATACTGTGAAGCTTGGAGCATTAATCAATTCCTCACCTTTTCTCCCCCCACTGAGGTTATTTCACCATGTTAGTCCTAATTACTGGGCAGGAAAATTAAAATACTATTCAGTTTTTCTTTCTGTGTTTAAACACAAAGGTATGTAAATTTCTGTTAAATTAAAATTTCAGATAACACTTAAGTATATAAATTTCTGTTAAACTTTCAGGTAGTGAAATTTTATATCTTCAATAGGAGTAATTATTGTTTGTATATGTTTCTTTTTCTTTAAGGATGATAGACAATTATTAAGGTGTTTAAATGCACAAGGTAAATAAAGGCCAGTTGTACTCTGTCTTAGAATAATAATTTGACCCAGTTGGTGTGGCTCACTGATTGAGCATTGACCTATGCTTTGGGAAATCACGGTTCAATTCCTGGTTGCAGGCTCGATCCCCAGAAGGGGCCATGTAGGTGGCAGCTGATCAATGATTCTCTTTCATCAATGATGTTTCTCTTTCTCTGTCCCTCTTCTTTCCTCTGTGAAGTCAACACAAATATATTTTAAAAAAATACAAATTTGATAGCTACTTTTAAGGAATAGACTCCCTTTAAAAGTGTGATAAGTAGTACAAACAGTATGCACTTTGGATATTCCCCTACTGCAAAAATTGCTTTATGAACTTGTTACAATAAACTTTTTCACAGGAGAAGAAAAGGTTAACAATTAACAACATAGCACGACAGTGGGACTTGCAACATCGAGTAACCAATATTGCTGCAAATCAAGATAGAAAAAATTCTGACCCTCCTTCTCTGGACCCCTGTCAGATGGATGGGAGCACCACCTCTGCATTTCCAGAGGAAACAGGGTATGCAATGGTATTCTTTCCAGATACCAGTCTTTGAAGACATGAATTTGAAGCAGAAATGGGAAGCCATTTAACAATAGTTTTCATAAGAAAACCACTGAACTTAGAAGTTTACATTTAAAAGTTAAGATGGAATTATTGAAAAAACAACTGACTACTAGTTAAAAACAAAACACTTTCAGTGTTTTTTTATTTGTCATAGGAAAAAATGTAGGTTACTTAATTTAGCCTATGAGACCCTCTACCTGCCTCACCTATTTTATCCTGTCTCCTACTGCAGCCTCAGTGACTTTCAGTTCAGTTACCTCCAGCCTTTCTCCTGCAAACAGTTGTCTTCTCCCCTGACACCATTTCCCTGCCTGACTTCCCCCACCCTATCCTAGCTTTAACTCCAACTCAGCCTGGAGGTCTTAAATTTAGACTTCATATCCCCTGGAAAGCCTTCCCCAACTACTTCCCCCCAAATGCCCTAGATCAGATACCCCTTTTATCTCTCAGTATCTGCACTTTGCCTTCTTAGCACTTACCATAACCATAACTAAATGAGTAGTGGATAATTGTTTCAGATCTGCTTTTCCCACTAGAACAGCGGTTCTCAACCTGTGGGTCATGACCCTTTTGGGGGTCAAACGACCCTTTCACAGAGGTCGCCTAAGACCATCGGAAAACACATATATAATTACATATTGTTTACAGTAGTAAAATTACAGTTATGAAGTAGCAACGAAAATAATTTTATGGTTGGGGGGTCTCCACAACATGAAGAACTGTATTAAAGGGTCGAGGCATTAGGAAGGTTGAGAACCACTGCACTAGAATATAAGTTTCAAGAGGAAAAGAATCCTGATGCTCTTGACCTATATGGTATCCCCATCAGCCAGCGCAAAACCTTACTCCTTAACTAGTGGTATTAAGCAATTCAGCATAAAAACTGAATAATTACTCCAGTTTTGTTTTATAATATCTCTCTATTCCTGTGGCTCAAAACCTCTTTTCTCCAATGACACGTGTCATATAATTCATATCTCCTGGTTTATGAGCAAATCTGAATACACTATCTAGACTTAGCACATTTCTCTTCCTCTTAAGCAAGCACATTGGAATCAAGTAAGTGAGAGAGACATAAAGCATATATATCTTTATAGTTTATTTATAATTTAAAATATGTATGTATAAAATTTTAAAATAAAGCCTAAAAATTGGATGAAATTTCAATTTTTTTCAGGTGATGAAGCACATATTTCAAACCAAATGTAATGTAGTTTTTTTATGTCAAGTTTTTAGCTCCTATTCTTTAAGCTTTTTATAAAATAAATAATGTAATAAAGTAATTTAAGAGGCATTAGAATAATATTTTGGAAGTTTTTTGACATTAAAGAGTGTGATATGTATTTAGACAAACTTACAGATTTTTCGTCATAGAATTATTATATGTTGATCAATGTATTTTCTTCAGTTCTCTTAGGTATTCACATGTATAGCTTTTCAGCTCTTTTAATTAAAAAAAAAAGTCAGGCCATACAAAATAGAAATTCTTTTCTCTGGCCAGGTGGCTCAGCTAGTTGCAGTGCTGTCCCATACACTGAAGGTTGCAGGTTCGATTCCTGTTCAGGCCACATACCTATGTTGCATTTTCAATCCCCCGTCAAGGCATGTATAGGAGGCAACTGATTGATGTTTCTCTCTCCTCTTCATGTTTCTTCCCTTACTCTCTCTAAAAAAGTAATGGGAAATATTCTCATGGGAGGATTAAAAAAAAGAATAGAAATTCTAATTAAGTGATAATTTATATAACAAATATATCATTCTAATATCACGTAAACATGTCAAAATATTATTTTACTTGTTTAGAACTATAATACTTTATAAAGTTAAAACTTTATATCATTGGTCTTTAGATTTATGAAATACTGCACAATTTCTCTTTTTTAAAAAAATATTTTTCCTGTCTTCCTTAAGGTTTCCTAGTTCTAAGTTTATCCAAATAATCTTGCAAATTTTATTCTAAAATTTTAATAAGGTTTTAAAAGTTAGTCCTATAATACATCAAATTTATTTTAATATGGTGTTAGGTAAGAGTCTAACTTGATTTTATTTCAGTTGACAAGTCAATTTGCTAATAATAGCATTCCTTGATTATTATTCCTATTTTTTAATGAGAATGCCATTTTTATCTTATATTAAGGTCCTGTAAATATATGGTTATACTTCTGGACTTTCTGTTCCATTTCACAATCTATTTAATATGTTTTAATGCCAATACCAGACTGTTTTGATTAAAGTAATTTTTTTAAAAATATTTTTTATTGATTTCAGAGAGGAAGGGAGAGGGAGGGAGAGAGATAGAAACATCAATGATGAGAGAGAATCATTGATTGGCTGCCTCCTGTTCACCCCACACCAGGAATCAAGCCCACAACTTGGGCATATGCCCTGACAGCAAATCGAACTGTGACCTCCTGGTTCATAGGTTGACACTCAACCACTGCGCCGTACTGACGGGGCAACTATAGTAGTTTTGTAGGAAGTTTTAATATCTGGGAAATCTGCTTTTACTATTCAACATTTTAATTTTCACACACTTTCTGGCATATGAACTATAAAATTATTTAATCTAAATAGATACGTTAGAATCTTATTCAAATGTGCTTAATCTCATTTAAGTTATTCATTTCAGAAGGATTGACATTCTTAGGATAATAAATCATCACTTTAAAAATCATGGTATATCTCTTCATTTTGTCAGGTCTTGTTTGGTATTCAGAGGGCGCTAACTGGGGAAGTGTTGAAAGGTTGAAGGAAAATTATGAGCAACTAAGTGAGTTTACAGACCATGAAATTATAGCAACTGTAGTCTGAATTGTTAAATGTGTATTCCAGGAACACATAATAGCTAGGTATCACAGTAGAGAAGTTAAATGTCTGATAAAAAATAATGAGAGCCCTAACCGGTTTGGCTCAGTGGATAGAGCGTTGGCCTGCAGACTGAAGGGTCCCAGGTTCAATTCCAGTCAGGGGCGTGCACCTTGGTTGCGGGCACATCCCCAGTAGGGGGTGTGCAGGAGGCAGCTGATCGGTGTTTCTCTCTCATCGATGTTACTCTCTATTCCTCTCCCTTCCTCTCTGTAAAAAGTCAATAAAATATATTTTTTTAAAAATAAGGAGATATAGGATCAAAGATGAGGAATAAAAATTTTAAGTATAATGACAAAAGAAAGAAATGATGGGCCATATGGTCTAGGCTAGATTTCTGAGGAATAAAATATACTAGTAGTTTGTTGATTTGTTGATGGTAGCCATTTTGACAGGTGTGAGATGGTACCACATTGTCGTTTTGATTTGCATCTCTCGGATGATTAGTGACTTTGAGCATGTTTTCATATGTCTTTTGGCATTTCTTCTGTCTTCTTTCAAAAAGTGTCTATTTAGGTCCTTTGCCCATATTTTGATTGGGTTGTTTATCTCCACAGTATTCTCCTCATTTCAAAGCTGTATACATAAATTCGGAGCTCCACAAGCAGGATTTCTTAAAGTGTGAAAGCACCATTTTGTGAAGTTGCCACCAAAAGTACTGGAGTTGTAAATATTATCAGTATTCTCTAGTTTACGTTGTCAAATATTAAGTGAGCATAATGGATTGGGTTGATTTCTGGGTTTCTGTTCTGTTCCATTGCACTATATGTCTGTTCTTGTGCCAGTGCCAGGCTGTTTTGAGAACAGTGGCTTTGTAATACAGCATAATATCTGGTATTGAGATCCCACCTACTTTGTTCTTCTTTCTCAGGATTGCTGCAGCTATTTGGGGTCTTACTTTAATCCAGATGAATTTCTGGAATGTTCGTTCTAGGTCTGTGAAATATGCCATTGGTATTTTAATGGGGATTGCATTGAATCTATAGATTGCTTTGGTAGTATGGACATCTTGATGATGTTGATTCTACCAATACATGAACACGGTATGTTCTTCCATCTGTTTATGTCTTCCTCTATCTCCTTTTTCAGTGTCCTGTAGTTTTCCGTGTTTTACCTCCTTAACAAGTGCTGGCGAGGATGTGGAGAAAAAGGAACTCTCGTGCAACCTTGTCGTGTTGGGATGACACTCAACAAACTGAGCTACTGACCAGGGCCTTCATATTTTAGTCTTTATTACACCCGAAATTGATTTTTAAGGTTTTTTTAAGTTTTTTTCTTTATTGATTAAGGTATTACATATGTGTCCTTATCGCCCCAATGCACCCCTCCTACCTCCCACTCATGCCTTCAACCCCCTGTTGTCTGTGTCCATTGGTTAAGCTTGTATGCATGCATACAAATCCTTTGGTTGATCTTCCCTCCTTACCCCCACTCTCCCCTACCTTCCCTTTGAGGTTTGACGGTCTGATCGATGCTTCTCTGTCTCTGGATCTGTTTTTGTTCATCAGTTTATGTTGTTCATTAT